CCTACAGGTGTTTGACCTGCAGAACAGGTGAGGTACCGCCTCCTACAGGTGTTTGACCTGCAGAACAGGTGAGGTACCGCCTCCTACAGGTGTCAGACCTGCAGAACAGGTGTTAGACAGAATAATTGATTGGTAATAATTGATTTAGGTGATGTGTCTGTATTGATCAGAGTTGTGAGTCACCTGTAGCTCATAAATAAAGTTGTTTCAGTCAAACGTCTTGTGTGTTTTCATACAAACTCAGTTCCTGTGAAAKTCAGAGTATGTTTAAAACTGAAATAAAAACAGAAAATGTTGATTTGTGAATTCTTTTCAACCTGTACTCAACTGATAACTCTACGAAGACCAGATATTTTCTGTGACAACAGATAGTGTTTTTCAAAACCTTCCCTCATTTTGAGTTTGATGCTTCAACATGTAATAAATCTAGGCAGGGTCCTGTTTCCCACCTTTTAACAGAATCAAACCCACCAGAGACAGGACGACCCCCCCAACCTCTGCCACAGCTGTAACAAAGGTAACAGTACTTTTTTGTCATTTAATGCATGTTCCCATACAAYGATGAGGTTTGTGCTCTGTGGTTAACCCATCACTCSTGAGAAACACCCAGGTGGAGCAGCGGGCAGCCATGTGAGGGGCCCGGGGAGCAGTTAGGGGTTGGGTGTCTTGCTCAAGGACACCACAACGTGGGCATGGCGGGAGTCAAACCTATGACTTTCGGGTCCCAAGCCGGCTGCTCGACCACTACGCCACAGCCGTCCCCAAGTTATCACTGTTCTCAGCTGTTCAGCCTGCACTTCAGACAGCAGGCTGGTTTTTATTATTTTATAATGATTGGTTACATTTCTTTCAGGAATAAATATTCCAGTCTTGTGTAATGGTAAAAAGAGCAAGAGAGAGAGAATAGATTCTGCAGTGCTGCTAACTGACATGTCATCAGTCGGGCTTCCATCAGTTTTTACGAGCATCTTGAAGTATCGCATTAGGAAAGCTGGATGGAAACAGAAAAATGGTAAATGGACTGAACTTATAAAGYRCTTTATYAAGTCCCTCCGGACCCCAAAGYTCTTTACGCTTAGAGACATTCACACACTGATGATGCTAAGCTACACTGTAGCCTCAGCTGCCCTGGGGCTTACTGACAGAGGTGGGGCTGCCATGCACCGGAGCCACCCTCTGACCACCATTAGTAGGCAAGGCAGGTGAAGTGCGGGATTCAAGATGGCGGCGCCTTTGTTMGGCTGCTCCACCTCGTGCTCTTACTCCTGGTTACATTTTTTCTTTATATTTTTAGGCCTTTTTTATCTCAAACACCTGGTCTTACCTTTTGCCCTCTGATCAACACGAACATCTTGGCTGCTGCATCCCCTTGGCTCCAATATGACCATCAGTCCTTGCTGGCGATTCGGACATCAATGGAGTGGATCAATACCTCCTCGTGGTAATCCAGCGAGGAAACACAAAAAGCAGGCTGCCGCGCGGTTACTGCATCGCGGAAAAGACGCACTGCTGGAGGCGCCCCACCACACGAAGTCCGGCCTCGTTGCCTCCTCTACCTGACCGGGACCCGGGACGATTGTCCCCTCGGCACACATCACTCTTGGCCCAGTCTCTCGCCGACGTTTTCCTCACGAAGCTGGAACYACGACTCCGGGACTGAACCTCGCAGCAGGAATCTCATTCAAATCCCCCTGGTTTCACCACAAGACCCCACCAGCTCTCCACTGCTCCGGATGCTTCTTCTGAACGYGACATCCATCTCCAACAAGGCTCTTCTGCTGAAAGACCTCTTCCACTCTAAAAATCTGGATTTTATGTTTCTGGTCGAAACTTGGCAGAAGAAGGATGAACACTTCCACCTGAATGAACTTCACTCTACTGGCGACGCAGTGGTCGTGACGCCTCGGCTGGATCGGCGTGGTGGAGGCCTCGCAGCTTTACATCGGGACAGTTTCTTTTGCCGGCTGGTAAGCACAAGGACTTTTTCATCGTTTGAATCACAGACTACTAAGGACGGTTYTTCGTCCCCTTTTTACTGTATCCTGACTTATCGCCCTCCTGGACCAGTTACAAACTTTCTTAAAGAATTCGACGATTTTTTATCCTCCGTCATAAAACTGGACTGCCTTTTACTGCTTGGTGACTTTAACTTTCATTTTCATGATGCAGACTGCAGCGAGACCCGTGATTTCATCTCCATTCTGGACTGTTTTAACTTTATTCAACATGTTTCAGGCCCAACTCTCCAGCGTGGTCACATGTTGGATTTGGTTTGTTCTCTGGGTTTGAATGTAAATAATGTGTGTTGAGGACTTGCAAGTTAGCGACTATTTTGTTGTGTTTTTTGATGTAAATTCTGTTTTGGAGCCCCCTCCTCCCAGACAACAGCTTCAGAAAAAGTTTCTAAAGCAGGAGGCTGTTGTCACTTTTTCTGCTTCTTTTGACCCGTCTGTCCTGGCTGATATAAATCAACCAGATGATTTTATCAGTTTATTAGACCATCACTGTTCATCTGTTTTTAATGACTGTACTGTAACAACCACTAAATCCTCTGCTGTTAAAACACCTGCTCCATAGATAAATGAGACCATCTGCTCTGCTAGATGCAAATGTAGGCAGGCAGAGGGTCTGTGGAAGTC